CCTATAAATTCAAACCGTTAATACTTTCTCTTTAATTTAAAAAGAAATTTTATTGGGAACGGGGTGTTATTATCATATTGAATGTTGTGGCGGGAAACCCATCCATTTGATATTGGCAAGAAAGTCCAGGCCTATGAAAGCAATTAGTCATGAAATAGTAGGATATCCCCAGTTTTTAGGCCACTACTTATGGTTTTGATTCTTACCTTTATGTACAAAGAGTAAACACAGCCAAGCGAGATTTACTATGTACCCCAAGTCCTTACAAAAGTAATTGGTGAAGGATACTCTTCTAGTCCTATTTTTTAAGGCACTTTTAATATATTTTATATAGATCAAGAAAAATCTTAAATTACATCAACTCTCTATTAAAATATAGTAATTTTTTTAACTTTATTCTTATTTAATATATACACCTTTACAAAAAATTATTTGTATTATAATAAATGAAGGATAATATAGTACACTTATGATAAAAATGTGATGAAATGTCTTATAAATAGGATAAAAAAATCTTCTCTCTTTATCTTATAAATAGGACCAGAGGAGTATTTTGGATGATCTGCCTGAAATAAATGAATTAAAATAATACTGATTTACTCTATTTTTATTTCATAATATAAATAAACTGTTATTCATATTAAGGTTCAAAGTTCACATTTTGACGATTAATCATTACATGAATCCTCTCAATCAAGGAGATTGGACGTGTTCATACTTCATAGATCGAACATGCCTATTTCAAATTTTATGATGTTTATTTTGTTTGGAAAAAAATTATGTACTTTTCATGTGTTTCTGCCGTTTAAAATTTGGAATTGATCTGTGCAACCATCCATCCATTCATAATATCGATTGTTGATTAATGATTATGACCTTTTATCTTAAAAAAAAAAACAAAGAAAAAGAAAAGAGTTGATTATGTCAATTGTATGTATGATTGATTAGAACATACGTATAGAGACGGCCAAATTCATCTTAATCTTATCCGGTGAGTGACATCGTTGTCTTTGATTTTTTCTTCTTCATATTAGAATCTCCCGTCTTCTCATAATTTCATCGTTGGAACTCAAAGGAGATTAAAGAGATGTTTGACAACTTCCAAACCATACAAATTTCAAACCATGGTTTCAGAAACACTTTTTCGTAAAACGAGACAAATTCTTCCACATATTTACTTTGTAAACCGTAAAAACACTTTTAAAATCATTGTTTGGTTTTTATCCAAACACCTTTTAAGTCAATTAAGTGTTTTGAGTCCCCCAAAAAAAAGAACTGTTTGAAAACATCCTCAGATCCAGCAAGTACGTTATTGCACCCTTGCACCAGCTTTACGTATCGGTTTCGTTGGCCTTTTGAGGGGAAAAAAACCGTCTGCGGCCTTATCAGTTATACTACTCCGGATTTTTAATATAAAAAATTAGTTAACTAATTTAAATAGATTAAAAAAATTATTTAAATTAGTTATTTGTAATAAATAAATATTGTCTTTTTTAAAATATTCTTACTAATTAAGTATATTGGCTAGAACTATTATTATTATAAGGATTACCTTAAAAAAAAGGATAAATTAAATATGAGAGACAAAGTTAATTGGGATCTTATATTTAAAATCAAAATAAAAATCAAACAAACTTTTATATTAAGGAGAGGTGGTATGACAATTTGCTTAATTAAGTAGCCACCTGGCTCATAACCGCAAGTGTGGGCTTGATTCAAATTTTTGTAATTAAAGTCTCCATGCTTCAATATGCTGAATGAAAGTTGGGGCCGTTCAGAGAGCCCATTGGGCTGAATAGATGGCCTCCCATATTGTTGTAATTTGGCACTTGGAAGCACGGGCCGAATCCTCATCTTCTCCTACAAAGAGGACCCAAAACAAAACTAACCACTTGCAGTAGCAGCTCTATTGTAATCCTTGTGAATTAATTCAGCGTCATGGATCAACAAGGAGCGAAAGGAACCAGATCCCCATAACTTAATGAATTAAAATATGCTTATACTCCTCCGGTCCTTATTATAAGACTCCATTTGACTTCTTATTTGATCCTAATTATAAGACCCCAATCCATTTTGTCTCTTATATTTATGCATTTTTTTTCAAGATAATCCTTCTAATAATGATAGTTTTAGCCAATATACTTAATTAGCAAAGATATTTTAGGAATGACAACACTTATTTATTATAAATAACCAACTTAACTTACTTCCTTAATCTCTTCAAATAAGTCAATTGGGTCTTATAATTATGACCGGAGGAGTATTTAGTACTTAAAAATATTTCAAATTGAATTACTTCTAATAGGAAGATATTTATGCTTCCCTAGTAATCCGATGGATGACATGAGTCCATACATTCAACACAGTTCCTCATAAATAATACATATGTCATTTTTTTTGGACGTGAATGTTATTTTTATTGTTTACTCATAAAATTATTTTTTAAAAATTTTAATTCGCATATTATATTACGTGTGAAAAGTGATCTTGGTAACGGTATCCATGAGTCAACCTCTAATCTATGAATCTCAAGGGCACGATACTCAAACGCAGTCGTTTAACTGTACATTTAGATTGGACTGAGAGAACGAGGCATTGGTTTATTAAGGAAGTTGTAATGGACTAATAGTCCGCATTTTTAATTGCCACCAATGTAATAGTCTACTGTATCAATGCTTTCCCAACTCAAAATTTCTGACTCGTTGTGTCTTCACTGAGGCGTTGACATGATTTATGAATTATGAATATATATATATCCATTTTAGGTAATATATTAGTTATTATAGATTGGCTTCAATTTTAGTTAAATGCCTTATTATATAATACTACCTCTGGTCCTTAATATAAGACCCTATTTGACTTTTATTTTGGTATTAAATATAAGACCTTAATCCACTTTATCTCTCATATTTATGTATTTTTTTTCAAAGTAGTCCTTCTAACTAGAGCTTATAATCTGGGCCAACCTGCCAATTATGGGTTGACTCGCCAACTTTTGGCGGGCTGGAATTTTTCCAACCCAGCTCGTTAGGTTAACTCGCTAGCCTGCCAAATTTTGTAATTTTTTTTAAAAAATGTTTAAAAATAAAATCTACTCAAATTCCTAAATACTTAAAATAAAACATGCAAATAGAAATTATCATAAATAAAACATGGAATCTAAAGTTTCAAGTTTCAACTTTCAAATATATCAAAATATTAAACATATGATCATGATACATCCTTAATAATTTAACAAACATCTCAAATTAAAAAGGGAGTTTAGGGCTTGGGACTGGGAGTTTGGGAGAACTTGGGACTGGGAGTCTGAGAGAACTACGAAACGCAAGCAAGAGGGGAGTTAGGATAGGAGGTTGATGACTTGAATCACTCGATGGCTGATGCCTGATGCGGCTGCATTTTGACGGATTTTTCAAGCTGAAAATAATAAAAAAAAAACGAGAGAGAGTAGGCCATCGCGATTGGGGAGGCAAAACTGCAGAAGGCTCTGAATGGATTGCTACCGTGTTGGATTGTTGGTTTGGACCGAGAGACTAGAGAGTAGAGACCAAGAGGCAAAGGAAATTTTTTTTTTTTAAAAAAGTTAAACGAGCTGGCCCGCTACAGGTCTGGTCTTCTCAAAACTTTTATTTTAAAACGGTGCCAATTTTTATCAACTCAACTTATTACTTATTGGCTGGTTGGTGGGTTGAACTTACGGGCTCAACTCATATTACTGGCTCTACTTCTAACATAGATAATTCTAGCTAATACATTTGATTAGTAAGGATATTTGAGGAAAAATAATATCTCTTTATAACAAATAACTAACTCAACTTCTTTCCTTAATCTCTTCAAATTAGTTAATTAACTTTTATAATTAGAACCGGAGGTAGTAGCATCAAAATAAAAAGGGAAAATTAATTTGACAGTCCTCATACTTTTATCAGATTTGGAATTAGGTCCCTATAATTTTTTTTTCATTTTATTAGATCCTTATTCTTTGCTCAGTTAGTAACGCAAGTCCTTCCGTTATGATTATCGTTACTTTAAGGTGACAACACTGACACGGCATTGTTCAACATCTTTATTATTATTATTATTATTTTTTAACCGGAGCACTGTTCAACATCTGACTAGCATCATCTTCTTCATTTCACCTGGAACACGTACGCCTTCATCTTTTCTCTCCCCTGCCTCCACTCAGTTCTCTTCCAAACTAACATCATCATCTCTCTCACACACTTCATATTATCTCTCTCCCTACCACTACCGTTACGTTATCTTTATCCCTTCTTGTAAAAGTTTCACTCCATGTTTCAAAATCATCAGATTCTCTCTCTATTTGTTAATGTATTTTTTTGGGCCAGAGAGTAGTAGAACCTCTTCCATATTTCACTATTGGACTTAATCATCTATTCAAATGGGCTAGTTTTTCAGGAAAAAAAAATTTAAGGATGAAGACGATGAATCTGAAGAGTCTCACGACATCGTGGTCCTCTTCTTAGTCAGCTATCATCACCCAGATCCGCATCGCCGTCTGAGAAGGGATTTGAAACAGGATGAAGCTTCTGGTGGTGGGGAGAGAGAGTGCATGAAGTGAGAGAGAAGATGATGGTGTTGGTTTGGAAGAAAACTGAATGAAGCTTTTTGCTCTAAAAAGAAAACCAAGTGGAGGATGAGAGAAGGTGTTGCAGGTGAGGTAAGAAAGATGGTGCTTAGTCATGCCACATCACCACTGTTAACTTAAGGTAATGGCAATTATAAACAGAAGGACCTTAGTTACTAACTGACCAAATAATAAGGATTTAATAAAATGAAAAAAAACTAGAGGGACCTGATTCCAAATTTCATAGAAGTATAAGGACTGCCAGATTAGTTTTCCCAAATAAAAATATCAAAAACCATTTTTCCAATAGCCTGCTTTATTAAAAATGATAATTCAATTTTTAAAGAAAATTTGATGATATTTTGATGACGATGAGTGTGTTCTTAAAAATCCCTCAAGGTTGCGTTGCCTGCATAGGATTCAAGGACCCTGCATATGCATTGTGGAAATGAAGCCTAGATAATCTTACATTACCATCTGAAGAATTCCAATCAGAATTAGAAATCCAAATGCCGACCGGAAGGTCTTGAGCCAAAACCTTATCCATCGCCGCTCCACAATTGCTCTGGGTTCCTTTACCCCTGTATGGTTTGATGGGAATTTCACACCAATCTTCGGCTAGGCTTCAGGAGTTATCGAGGATTGTCTCGTCCGCCAAAGCCCCTAAGCCCAACAAAGCTCTCCCCACGTCGCCGAATCGAGTTGCGGCCCCGGCAGCTCTCAAATCTCAGGCATCGCAGCTGAAGATGGAAAGCTCCGAAGGGGAGAAGAATCGGGTGCCGCTTGCTCACGTGGTCGCCGATTGCGCCAAGCGGTGGTTCCGGGACACTCTCAAGGAGGCTCAGGCCGGCGACAGCAGTATGCAGCTCCTGGTCGGCCAAATGTACTACTCTGGCTATGGTGTTCCCAGAGACCCTCGAAAGGTCTTTTTTTTTTTTTTAACCTTCATACCATTCTGTGTTTTCTCATTATCTGAATCCCCACAGACGAAGCTGAGATAGTGTATCGGGAAGTCTTTTGGTTTTCTCTTGAACATTGCAGCCAAGAGGATCTTTTTTCTCTGACTATTTGAGAGGAGTGATTGAATTGACTAGCTTGTTTAGAGTTATAAAGTCGTTCAATAGGATTGGGCTATCAATAGGGACATTGCAAGTTTTCTGGCCGGCTTGCTCACATAGTAATGAAGTTCCGTGACTCCGGTGGTGTTCAATGATCTTTGAATTTCTGACAGCTGAATTTGTCATAAACTTGTTCTGAAGGGACATGCTTGGATTAGCAAAGCATCAAGGACTCGAAGTTCAGTATGGAAAGCTAGTGAAAAGCATCCAGGTAATCTCTCACTCTTCTCCTGTCTAACCAAAATATAAGAGTTAGTTGACTAATTTGAGTCGATTAAAAAAATAAGTTAAGTTAGTTATTTGTAATAAATAAGTGTAATCTTTCTTAAAATATCCTTGCTGATCAAAAACTACTTTTAGTATACTTTTAGTACAAGGACTATTTTTGAAAATAATGCATAAATATAAGAGACAAAATAGATCGAGGTCCTACATGTAGGACCAAGATAAAAGTCAAATGAGGTCTTAGACTGAAGGTAGTATATGAATTTTGGCTTCACATGTTGTAGTGACAATTTACTTTGTTTCCGTTTAGGTTATAGAGCAAGTGACTCTGATTCGAATGAAATGGAGAACAAAGATCGATGAAGTTGTCTTCCATCACAGTTTGTAAGTACGGGGCTAGTGATTAGACTATGGAATTTCTTACTGTCATTTTCGGTTAATTCAGATTCGCTTGCTGGAATTGTTGTTATTGGATGTCTTACATTTTAATTATCACCGGCTCTTACTGACTATAGCATCCTCACCATCTTTATAAATATAATCTTGCTTATACTGTTGTTCTTTATAGTGCTGTCTATTATGTTTTGGAAGGTTGTCGTGACATTTATTTTAATTTCAGTGTTATGATAATCTGAGACGGCAAATTGATGATCTAATTTCGGAAGCTCTGAATAATGAGTACCATGCTTCTAAAACTGAGAGTAACTCTTGCATTATGGCTTTCTTATTGTTACAAAAGTGTTATTTATTGACTCTGGAGCTTACCGGATGTTTTTTTTTTTTAAATAAATGTGCTTTCATGACAAATGCGACTGCTTCCGTACTTCAAAGACATTTCTCTTTTGAATGTCAATTTTTGTATTTATTTCATACGAGTCTTCCAAAATAGATGCCAACTTCCTTTTCCGTTGCCAGTCTCCCTCCGCCTGGCCTTCACGACTACTTTATTTGATTTGCGGATTTATTGCCATTAGAAAAGCAGTGTCACATTCAGATCTAAGTATAAAGATTGCAACATAGTTTGAAAAGAAATATCATTCAATCAATGCGTAACTTTGCTCATCTATACATAATTAACATTTTCCAAAATGGGAATTAATGGAGTCCTGGCATTCAGATACAAGTTTGTCTCTTCTTTTCCTTTCCTTTTTTTTTCCCCCCTGGTAGGCACAGATATCTTCCTATTAGAGGCAATTTTTCTTCTTTTCCTTTCTTCTCATGTTTCTTCTTCACTGTTTTGTCTATTTATAGTCACAGTAAAGTTAAGTTAGTTTCTATTTGATTCTTGTGCTCAGAGAAGTTCTAAAATATCTTTATTACATCCCGATTGTATCAACTGTCAAGTGATAGTAATCATAAAATTTCAAACAATGTATTTGGTTACTATTGTCTATTCTTGGGCAAAGTTTTCAAGTCAGATCAGAATGAATATTTTAGTTTAATGATTATAACTTATGAGTGCATTCACGAGGCATTTAACTTTTCTAATGATATTTACTTGATTGCTAGAGCTATCAAACTACGTATATTGCTTGGTAAATTCCTAAGAAGCATGGTTATTGATAATGATATGTACATGAGGCATGACACCATGAAAGTTGATGTGCTGATGGCAATTTGAAGAGCTGCATTGTGTTTGATGCTGGTTTTTAACATATTTAAAGCGTGTCTAGAATGATGCAGGTGTTCTTTCTTTTTTCTGTTTTTTCCCCTGACACAAGGTTCTTCATTTTTTGTAGTGACCTGTTGGGCGTTATTTTCGCATGCTGTCATGTTGTATGATATCCGGCGTGATTTGTAATTTTTCTCTTGAATTCTCTGTCGTACAATTTTCTGTATTTTTACTCCGACTCTCCTATATTGTCACTGCAAATGTAACTGTGGGCTGTAGTTTTAGCTACCTGGTTAGCTCTCATCTTCTCTGAATGAGCCAGTGACTGCCATGATGGCTAATAAGAAAAATAAATATTTATTTATTTATTTATTTTTTTAAATTGAAGAATTCGTTTGCGTGAAGATTTAAAGGTTGCTAGTTATACTCACGACATTTTGCAGGGGCAGAAGTACTGACATGGTTGCCAAAGCGCTTTATGCATATTTGTGAAAGATAATTTCTTTCAAATATATTGATAGATATTTATTTTCAATTTTCGCTATGAAGACAAAACGTTAAACTAAGGTAAGGAGAAGGTTCAGGTTACTTCTTAAGTTATACACCAAACTTGCAGCAATTGCCCTTGTAGGAATCCCAGGAATCTGAACATCTGGTGGATGAAAAATTGGCAAAGGATGAGCTTTGTGGTGAATAGTAATGAATGTGAATAATAAAGGTTGTGAACAGAGTCGTGCACTTTGAGATAAAAAGGTCTGATATGATCAGAACAGATGATTGTGAGAGAAAGTAGGTTTAACGTTGTTCATTCAAACCTGTAATCGGCGCCTTACCTTCTCATTTCTTCTCAATCTGTGTTTTCAGCAGCTCAAAGGTTTCAGTCTTCATAATGATGGGGTTATAATGCTCCGTTTGCCTGGTAAAAAGGAGAGATCTTTTGTCGTCCATTGATAAAAATTACTGGACACTCCCATTGCCTCAAATTTGAGATGAACTGTTGCCTCCGTTATTCAAATGATAAGTGAATAATTGTAAACGTCACCGAGTTTTAACGCATAACATCTTGAAATTTTAATAAATTTTACTTGTTTCCAAGGGCACAAAGGGGCAATTACAATTATATAAGTGATGATATTTGCGTTATGCATTGCTATGCAGATTAATGAAGAGATTTGTATATTTATTTTTGACAGATAGGAGATTTGTTTATAAAGGACAAAGAACCAAACAAATTAACTAAAAATAAATACTTTTATGCTTGTTCCTGTCATTAATATTTAAAGCATCACTTGTTAAAAGTAAATAACCACGTCTAGTTTGAACTAAAATTTGTAGCGACCAGAGTGAGTGAGGAAGAGAATCCACATCATATCAATACATCGCATCATGCTTCCCTGCCAAATGCCAACCCTAAACGAGTGAGTGGAAGCCACTCACTTCCAACCCAACAAAAAAGGGGAATAATTTGGGCTTGACCTTTATTCCAAGCAAACCAGAAGTTTCCTTTCAGAATCCAATTCCTTCCTCACTACTCATCTCCACTCTTTTGTGTGTGTGTGTATATATATATCATATCTCTTTTCCCCTCTCCCCCCTCCTGTCAACATTATTTGATATCAGTTTCCGACCACCATAGTCATTCAGAATGACAAATGTAAGTGCCCATCAATTCTGTGTTTGATAATTGATACGGACGTGTTTCTCCAGAGCCAGATAGAGGAGCTGAAATGAAAGGGTGTGTGTTGTTTTGTGTTTGCAGGTGGTGGAAGTGAGAGTGGGCTTGCACTGTGATGAATGCATAAAGAAGATCCTGAAGGCCATCAAGAAGATCGAAGGTAGGTACTTAAGAAATTGAAGTGATTAATTTATGGGTGTGATCTATGAAATCAAAATTAAGCAGTGTGAATGTCGCAGAGATCGAAACGTATAACGTGGACACAGAGCTGAAGAAGGTGATCGTCACCGGCAACGTTACGACGGAGCAAGTCATCAGAGCTCTTCAGAAGATTCGCAAGAATGCTACCCCCTGGCACCAACCTCAGCCCAACTCCTGAATCTCTCTCTATTCTCTCTTCATTCTACAGACTACATGTATACATATGCAAGCTATGAGATTTTCAGATTGTAGGAGGTGACTACTTAATTTTTGGAGGCTTATATACCTTCGCCTCAGTTTTGTAGCCCCTGAGCTTTATCTGCGTATTATCGATACTCATTTAAGTTTTTGACTCAAAATTTTGACTATTTGTCTCGTTCGTTAGAGTTTGTATGGTTTCTCGTTTTGGTTATTTCTGCGACATGTCTTTATGTTAGTTCCCCTGGGATAGTTGATGAAAAATAACACAAATATTTAAAGTGATTCGATCTTTTAAATGAGGTAACATAAGCAATCATCCTATATCTTGATCACTATAGAGTATAGATTCTTGAATAGGAAAATCGCAAATAAGATTCTCACACAATTTTGAATGGGAAAACAAAATAATTCTAAACAGCTTTTTTATTTAAAATAGAAAGAAAGAAAGAAACTTGTTAGAAATTATCCCCCCAAACAAGTTGGGCTGTCAATATATTGACCCGGTCCAATCTTATGATTGTACTCAGCCCAGCTCATCGGCTGGGTCAACTTCCGGTTGACAAAATTATGTTACCTTATCAAACAGCAATGTGCATTGATCCAACAGGAATAATTAGTCTTTCCTCTTTGACTTTTTTTTTTCCTACAAAAAAAAAGGAGTTCTTGAAATATATCCTAATATTAAAAGAAAGGATCTAATTTTCAAATTTCAACATAAAAATATTACTACCTCCGGTCCTTAATATAAGACTCTGTTTGACTTTTATTTTGATCCTAAATATAAGATCCCAATCCATTTTATCTCTCATATTTATATATTTTTTTCCAAAGTAACCCTTCTAATAAGAGTTCTAGTTAGTACACTTGATTAGCAAGAATATTTTAGTAAAGACAACACATATTTGTGATAAATAACTAACTCAACTTACTTCCTTAATCTCCTCAAATTAGTCAACTGACTCTTATAATTAAGACCGAAGGTAGTATTATATATTATGGATGATATTCTAATACGCATCGGCGTGATGAGAGCTTATGAAAATGAAGAACAAAGATGAAAATGGAACAGAATAAATTGTGTTTGTTATAAAATAGAAAAAAGAACAAGAATATATTCCCATTTATTTTATTTGATATGATGAAAATAATTAAGAAATGAAAGAAGGGAAAAGACTAAAATAACCCTTATGCGAAACATGAAGGGCACTCGTCCCTTCCTAGCTCCTTCCTCGAGTAGTTAACCCCCATCCCATCGGCTGCGGTAGGCCGTAAAAGCCCCTTCTGAGGTCCAAAAGCTTCTCAGAATCTCATGTCAAGTTCAGCGTTGTCGTCATCTTCCACAAGCATGAAGATTGGGTTTGTGGGATTTGGCCGCTTCGCGCAATTTCTGGCGAAGACATTTGTCAGACAAGGGCACACTCTTCATGCTACTTCTCGCTCTGATTATTCCACCCTCTGTTCCCAATTAGGGATTCAATTCTATAGGTTTTTGCATCATATATATAACCAAACCCTCCCTCCCCCTCTAATTATCGTTTTCATTCACTAGTATCTTTCTTGCAGGGAAGTGACCACATTCCTTGACGCCGACAACGACGTCGTACTCATCAGCACATCCATTCTTTCCCTACCAGAGGTTCTCAGATCCATGCCACTTGATCGACTCAAAAAACCTGTACTCTTTGTTGATGTACTTTCAGTCAAAGAGTTTCCAAGAGAAGTTCTACTACAGGTATACCAGACAGGCATTGCTTCGTATCAGTGATTTCATTTAACTTCATTTGATTTCTTCGATGCAATCTTTGTATTTCTGGCCGTAAGGTTTTGCCGGAGGAATCGGATATTCTCTGCACGCACCCAATGTTTGGACCAGTTAGTGGCAATGATGGGTGGAGAGATCTAAATTTCATGTACGAAAAAGTTCGAATCAGAAATGAAGATATCTGCTCCAATTTCCTCAAAATCTTTGAAAGTGAAGTAGGTTTCATAGCTTATGGAGTCATTGATGAATGTTTCACCATTATCCAAGGTGGGTTAGGGGATATTTTACAGTAATTTGTGTTATCCAGGGTTGCAGAATGCTGGAAATGACCTGTGAGGAACATGATCGATTAGCTGCCAAGAGTCAATTCATCACACATGCCATAGGCAGGTATGGAGCTTTCTACACATTATCTAGCATGAACAAGTGGCATAAAATGCTCAACAGAGATAGATACATCTTTTGACTTCTCGTTGTGTAGGGCACTGGGAGAGATGGAAATCACGTCCACACCTATCGACACCAAGGGCTTTCAGACACTTGTTCAAGTGGTACGCCATATATTTGCTCAATTATTCACATTCCCCATTCTTCTAACTCAAGTTTTCCTCTATTCTGTCCAATTTTAGCCACAATAATTAATTTAGGGAGAATTAAGATAATATTCCACGCAAGAAAAAAAAAATATAAAACAAGTCCTAAAGTTGTTATTTTGAATTTGTTATTACAAGTTGTTCAAGTTGTTATTGGACCTTTTGGTAATTATTTCTCTTACACAGGACTTGATTGTAATTCTCCCATTAATTTAATAATGGGAAAACCATATTGGAGGTACCTATACTTTTTTTCAATTTTCAATTTGGTACCTATGTGTTTTTTGTTCTTAACTAAATCTTTATTTTTCCTCTATTAACATCATTAATCCTTATGTAGAGACTAAAAATATCAATAGAACAAAGTTATAAGAGCTAATGTTGCTAAAAAGATAAAATTAAATGTTTAATTAAAAAGGAAAAAACACATAGATACCAAATTAAAAATTGAGAGAAAATATAGGTACCTTCAATATGGTTTTCCCTTTAATAATTTAATAGAGTTATATATTTTACTGTCCCAGAGTGCTTCTTTACTTCTTTAGTTTTCGTACCTGATTTTCTTTTCTGCGGCATGAGTTAATCTCTCAAAATATTTAGTCAATAAAAAATAATCATTCGATTAGGTGTATCATATTTGTCTCGTACGCTAATTGATGTATCATGACGTAATTGCAGAAGGACACCGTAATGAGTAGTAGTCTTGACCTCTTCAGCGGATTGTTCATGCATAACAGATTTGCCAGACAAGAGGTAATCAAACTGCTTGCCAATTTCTTATTTCCAAATATTTAGTATTAAAAAAATTATTCACTCTTTAAAATCACTGAACCAGGGAACTAACCATTGGCTTATGACCAATATGCAGCTGGATAACCTTGAAAATGCCTTGCACAAAGTCAAGGAGATGCTGATTCAAAAGACGAATGAGGAGCAAGAGAAGACTGAATGTTGATGCTTTGCATTGTTGACGATTAAGCAGCATTCCTGAGCGATGTATCATCTTTTTCAATTTCTTTCCCATCCTATGCCCTACATCAGTCTAAATCTTTCATATTTCTTTATAATAAATTTCTCGTAGGGCTTGGAGAGATAGGGAAAACTTCTTACACACTTGTTTTTATGTTGCATTATTTCCGAACTCTACAAGATGTTTACCATCAAGATTTGTAAAAGTTCCTTGTACTATAAAATTGATCTTATTTCTTTGTTTTTTTGGGGGCAAATTAAGCTTCTGCACAAGGCTGAACAAACAATGGGGCAGCTTTTGAATAAAACTCAAATGGCCGCAGGCGAGTTTCAATAATAACCATCAATCACTTGTTACCATTCCAGGAAGCCCACAGACTGCAGCATGTACTCAGTAAACTCAGATTGTTCATCCTTGCGAGAAATGCTATCTGAGCATCACTAAAAGTATGTACTACCCTGGAGGAAGGTGCACTGCTCCATAATCCTGGATAAAGACGTTAAAATGTAGACTGGACAATCCAACGTCGCTCCTGGTCACGTAGTTTTGTTGGCTAAGAAAATAAGATTTTATCAAGAGGCGTCACTGGAATTCAACAACATCGTTTCGAGACATTTTTTTTTTTGGTTCACATGACTTGCAACAATAATGTTTGCTGCTATACTCACTGAACTGGGAGAATCATATAAAATGGTATACAATTGAGTAGTGAAAGGAATATGTGTTCGTCATAGAGATATAAATAAACATGAAATGAAGAAATCCTATTCGGTTATGTCTACTGTACAAAAAGTAAACTTAATACGATCCTTTATGTTTTTTGCTACCAGGTTTTCCAATAAAATTATAACATCTATGATTTAAAAAAAAAAAAAAAAGAAATCAGTAAAGCTGAACATAAAAACAACCTTGTCCTGTTATTATGGGAACACCACACACTTATTATCTTGAGGAACCTGATAACAAAATATAAAGAATCGTATATAAGTTTCTCCTTAGTAGCACAAGCTACTGAAAATGAGGCAGGAGTATTGTCACCTCATTTGCTTTGGATATCGTCAACACCGGCTTCTTCTGTTTCGTTGCACACAACTGCAGCTTGGTTAGGAGAATCTGGTATTTGTAGAGAGGATGATTCGGTCTTTTTAACTTGCAGTCCAGTAGACCGGGCAAGGTCAATCCATTGCTGCAGCAATTTGAGAGGGGAAAAATGGTAAAAATTAGTTTTTCTAATATATGGATGCTCAGTACAAATGAAATTCGATGATAAGCTGTAATATTATAGAGTACTGATTTGTGGTTGAGGTGGTTTCCAGAGAATAAATGCACAAAAGAATTCATCCACCATCCTAGAGCGGCCCAAAGCTTTTGTTTTTTTTCCCCTTCCAACTCCACAGAACTTTAATCATGCTAAATAAAGTCTTCCACCACCAAGACATGATTATACTAAATCATTTTACCTTACAGAATATTTATTACTATGAACATTACGATAAGAAATGGCCCACAAATGGAGTAAAAGATACTCTCCCGGTTTTTAATGTAAGACTTAATTGTAAAGTTGGTCTTGGTCTTGAATATAAGACTTATTTTTTATATTTATTAATTTTTTCCAAATCACTCTTATTGATACTCCCTCAGCCATAATTTAGTAGGAGAAAGAGGGAAGATATTAAGGAAAATTATTAAGATATTTTAGAAAAAAATATGTCATATTTATTATAATTAATTAACTTACCTAACTTCTTTAATTTAATCATATTAGTTAAATAGATCTTACATTAAGGAGCGGAAAAGTATTTCCAAATCACTGGCTGAATGTTTAACCGAGGAAAAAGAACTGGCCTTCTGAAGATGGAATTGTGGGCAAGTTGGCATAATGCAAGCAAAAGCACAGAAGCATACAATAGAAAGTAGAAAAAAGGGAGGGGGAAAAAAAAATAAAAAAAGAATACTGACCTGAGTTCCCAAATAGGAATTGATTGTCCGAGCAACAAAAGATATTATATTAAGAAGAAGTGTTTGGGATGAAAACTGCTCAGAAAGCCGGTGCTCCACAACTCCAGCGATAATCTGCAAAACAATTTGTTCCCATTTCAGTATCCAACACCGGAAGACAATCACAGATCTTAACTTCCTTCAAGAATGCAAATAAAATGGAACAGCCTAGCTAGTTAGCTGCAATTACTATCAAGGAAAATATTTTCAAAACATTAGCCAGTCAACGCAAGAAGTACAACGGAGAAGAATAAATCATTAGAAACGTGGTTATCTTTGAACTAGTCTTTAACCAGAACTTTTTTAATGGTCTTCACTTCCCTAGATTTCAAGTCGGAGGTAGGTGGTTATCCCATATTTACAAGTTTGATAACCGACAATATATATATGAATTAAATATTTTGGAAAAAAAAAAGCCTCTCAATAGTTTTTAGAAGTCTTAACACAGCACAATACACTGAAAACCTCAAACTCTTCCTTAACCTCAAACACCGGAAAGAAACAGCTTTCCACATTAGAAAAGCAAAAACCAATAACATGGCAGTATAAGATGGCATTTGCCACAGAACAAGTAGGTCTGATTTTTCTTGAACTCTTCTATAAAACATTGGCTACAGTCAAAATATTATAATTTGTACAAAGTCCGTTAGGGTTATCACTATCCATACCTGATAACGAAGATTTGCAGATATTCCAAGAAAAGACGCATACACAACTGCTGTTTTGAGTATCGGTGATCTTATAATCCGTTGATTAGAAACAACTGCTGGATTAAAGAATCTACGAATTGCAAACAATGCATTTGACGAAGCCACAGTTCCTATACTTGAGATAAACCCAACACTAGCAAGTTTTAAGCCACCAAATAAAACAGATGCAACTCTATGATTGAGATCCCAGTTAGTCCCCACAGGACTTTTCTGAAATGCATTGTCTGGGATGGAGCCCAGAAGACCTCTCAAAGCATCAATGTTGTCAGGTGCATTCATTTCATCAGCATAAGAAAGGAATGACAAAGTCGGGGCAGGAAGCCACACTGTGAAGAAATCAACAACTGAGCCCCTGACTGCGTCTGTTATAACATAGTCAAGCTCTTCAAAAAAATTTTCCTTCCGCTTCTCATACTGTGCTATTAGTGTAGTTGTTATTGATATGGCTTCCTCTATGGCTAATCTATTCAAGAATCTGGGATCTGCCAATAATCGTTCCCTAAATCCCTGCATCCAGGACAGCCGGATAGAGATGTAGGAATATGAGTAATCACAATGATAAAATAGTCTCATGATTAAAATCAAAGCATTCTGATTTTAAATCTGAAAATACCTGGAATCGATGAGTGAGTTCTGAAATCAGTGGATACTGCTCTAGATCAAAAAAGTTCTGCAACACCTCAGGTGATACCAAACCAAGATCAATGCCCTTTTGAAGATCCTGAAAATACATGGCAAATTTATCGATTATATATACAGGATAAGGGAACAGTTATATACTATGCTATCTAAATATGATGTTATAAAGGCGAAAGCAGGTTCCAGAAGAACAAGAACTAAACCCACTCCAATTATCTGATGATGATAGCACAAACAATTCACACTCGGTCACACTTGCGACTACGTACTCATACTCCCTAATCCCTAATCCAAGTTATAGAACAGAAAATTCTAGAGATATCAGCAATGGATTTTTTTAGCCACAATTTTGGGCATAATTTTTTTAATTTCTTCGAGGCTTATAAATGATTGCAGAAAGCTATGGCATATGGTAGACAGAAAATACAAGAAGTACTGATCTGTAACACCTAATAATTTTCAGAATGTTTTGAGTTCTTATCCTTGTGATACACACAACAGAAGACAAAGGGTTAAAGATGAGGGGTGCGAAGAAAAAGGACAAGTCAGATGAACAAAAGTGGATGTACAAATTAATAAATTCAATAGCCAACCTGTGGAAGGGCATCCCTCTTCCGACCAGCTGCATTCATAATCCGTGCAACCTCAGCACGATCAAAGCAGTTTCTACTACATGGTCTGGCAGCAGAATACCACAAGAAATCAGCAATGGGTACTTCTCCCTCTCTTCGAATGAGTTGCCTTTCAGGATCAAGTAATATGACAACTTGATTTTTCTTCTGCATTTTCCTTGAAATTCTCGCTGGCACTCCAGTTCCTCTTGATCCATAAGTAATGTGGCTTGCACCAGTCACAACCACTAACATACCACCAGCTCCTTCCTCCTGAACATTTTGTAAGATGATCCGGGACATGGTGTAATCTTCAACTACTCTTGCCTGTGCAGATAGATATGAGAAAGGTATAGATGGATTTGGAGTAGTCACATCTCCTGGTGATCTGCGCGAGATTGAAGTAAAGCCTGATATGAAGCCTGAACCAGCTGGAGGAACATAAAGTTTACGATCAGCCCTTGAAAGCCCACGAACTCCTTCTGCTTGCACGGTCCTTAAGACCTGTTGATCAAGACAGTTACCATGCCATCAACCATTGTTATGATAGTTAACGCACGTTATGAGCACTTAACTAGTCATATTTTTATCTTATGCAAGACAGAAACTTTAATGACTGTGAAACAAGAATAGTATTTTTTATATCTGATTTAAAATTTAACTACATAGCTCCCAATTACGTGTACTTATGGAATTTGACACATGGGAGATGCCCTTTGATGCACCAAACATTTACATCTGTTATAAGCTTAACAGATTATGATGCCTTCCTGTTTTCTCCCTCAGCTGTTCTCCTTTCTACCAAACCTTCTATACATCTCTATCAATTTTTAAGAGTGAAGATATGCATCAAAAGCTTTTATCATTCATAAATACATGATAATAGCACAATGCATATATAGAAAGCTATTGGCCCATTGCAAGAAGCAAATCGTACGTTGTTATCTACCCATGCGGCTCTACGCCAAACAATAGATGATTGCCTTATATAGACATACACACCACAACCTTGGTATTTTTTTCACTAACTTCCAGTATGCTCTCCACCAGACATGTCATAGCCAAACATATTAAGGATCTGCATTAGCTTGGATGAAAACAGAAGCATACCTCTGGTGGGGTGCCACAAGCAACGAGACGAATTTCATTATCACGACAGTAGCTAAAAAGAGGTTCATACTCCTGCCACCTTTGAGGTGGCCAATGTAATGTATAAGACTTTAAGGTTTCTCCATCTATCCTGCCATGAAATCCAGGATGTAATAATGCAGGCTTGTGAGAAATATTTTAACTAAGATAAATGAGAGATTGGCCAGAAAAGAAGCTTAAAAATTAGGGAGCGAGGGGAAAAAGAGGGATAGATTCGGCAGTGTATATCTTTAACAACCTAAGATTCTGTAACAGGCGTGAAAGAAATAGACGTTGTCAGCAGTATACATACATTTATACATTAAAATTTCCATTCACATAAAATGGATACAGAAACTTCACTTATTACTGTTAAAATATTGGTTCCTAAGGATCAGACCTTTTGCACACTTAAAATGAGCACTGGAAAAGAGTAAATAGCAGCACTTCAGCCATTTTCATGTCCCATACATCACAGCACTTTAGATGGGTAAGTCATCACATGGGAACATATAGAGAGGGCTACACTATGCATGATACCACTTGACGGATCGACTTCAAGTCTACAAGTGCAATGAGTACACAAGAGAACAGTACCTACAGTTTTCTTCCTCCTATTTGATATAAATAAATGATGCTGATACTTATTCCACTTCTCAGGTTGATGGCTGAGGTCACGGAGAGAAAGGAAAACTCAACCATCTAGAATCTTACCCTGAGCAAATGATTTGACTGTAGGTGGCAAAACAAATTCATGTAAGAGAGCAAGAGACAAAGACCGCGAATTGGTGAATTTTATAAACTAAGTCTTGTGTATCCAAATGCCAAAATTAATCAGATAAATATAATATCACACCAGCCAACTAATTTTCAATCAGAGTATGCTGTAGATTCCACAAGTAGATTATAATTTTCTGAGTCTTCAGTTAACATGGAAAGGCATTGCATGACAAATGGACAGGTATAACCATATATAAGAAGAATAAATTCTTTTCCTTCTGAAAGAAAAGGGCATACTTTTTATCGATATATTGATCGAGCTTCTCCTGCAGATTAGATGGAAATGCTTCAAGGGCCAAAGATAATCGTTTCTCGCTTCCGATACATCGTCTGTGCATATTCTTCAACATTTCAAGCTCCAATTCCCTATCGTCTCGAATGGGAACCTGTTCCGCTTCCCCCAAATACACAACTCGAGCACTCATCAACTTCTCCCACACTTTCCATTTATCTTTCCCAATCGCCAATGGTTCTCCGATAACCGTCGCATCGTAAATCCTCGATGTTATCACATCCTCTTCTTCCTTCTTTTTCTCCTCCTCAGGCTCAGAAACCGGCAAATCCCCTTTAGCTTTCACCTCCGTCGGCGACGGCGTCGCATTGACAGCCACTTTATCCTCGGCCCTCGTTGTCGCCGCAAGAAGAAACGACGCCCCCATGGCAAGAACTGGCGCGGCCAACACTTGTCGCCTGGTGCTTCTAGCTCCATCCGATGACTCCAAAATTTCAGTTAAAATTTCCCTTCTAGTATCACAGTCAGAGTCATCAGATTGACTAGCCTTGATACAAGAGGGACGGGCAGATAAACCGACCATACGCCGGCGTTTAGGGGTCCAAAGTCTCCGGGAAGCATGGTTACCGGCGTCGAACAGCGGCGGCAAAAATTTGCCCGGTGGAGCAGAAGACGCGCTGCCACGCCTAAAAGTGGTTATACGTGGCGGTCCGCTGCCACAAGCAGCGTGAGTCTGGGACCTCATGGTCCTTCGTAGGCTTACTGCGTCCCCTTACCCGCCACGGCCATATTGTTTGGATGAGACAGAAAGAGCCATTCGTTAATTTCGGGCATCAGGGGTCGGTATTAGATTCGAGCTATAAAATCCAGGTGTAAAATCGAGAGACACGAAAAATAAAATAATATTTTTTGTGCTGAATAAAACCGGATAAACCTTGGTCACAAGTTCTTATTGATAAATTTTCGACAAGTATATTCTTTCAACTTGACGTGGAGTTGGTCCTTTCAGAATTTTTCTCATATATATGATCTTTTTAATTGTGTAAATAGGTACATTTTTTGTTAAATAAGTTGATAATTAAGTTTGATGACAAAATAAGGAGATTACTCCATTCAAAAGTTAATGAAGAAGGTTTTTTGTATTTTTCAGTTTCATTGATTTCTTTTTGCAACACTTTCGTGTCATTTTTTTACAGTTCGGTGATTTTAAAAAAAAAAGTTTCTACAGCTAAATAAATAATAAAAAGAGAAAATGACAAATAAAGACCCCAATATGTGAAATTATGATTTGAGACTCTTAATTTGAAAAATAATAAATAAAGACCCGGTTATATATTGCAAATATGAAGTTTTTGTGAAATATCTAAAATACCTTTTAGTTAAATGACAAGTTCACTTTAACGAATGACAATTTCAGTAGACCAAATCACAATTTAATTGAGAGGTATTTCAGTCATTTCATTAAGATTTTATATTTACACTATGAGACATTTGCTATTTTTCAAATTTAGAGTCTCAAATCATAATTTCACATATTATGAGTTTTTATTTGCCATTTTTTCTAATAAAAAGGCAAAATATTTGAGAAAAATAATATTATATTTTTACGGATAATATTCTCTTAATTTCTTTGTCAAGTAATTATCATAAGCCTCATATTTGGAGCTCTGGACATTCGGGTGTATACGTGGATCTTCCGTTTTGGAAGTTTCTTATGACTTGCGTTGGCGCCTACTTCTCAGATAAACCTATCCGAGTCAGGTGTGAGTCAGGCTCCATTGGCTTTTGTCTGGGAGCGGGTCTCAATACTTGGTCCGTTTGAATTAGCCATTAAAAAAAAAATTATTTTTAATATGATTTTTAGAAAAATAAAATTGGGTAAAAATTAGATTAGATAATGTGATTTATATTTATATTGGATTTTATAAAAATTAGTTTTTAAGGTAAAAAAAATTGTTTAGATTAGGATTAAATAAGTAATTTTAGTTTGTAGAATGACCAAAATAGATATGATTTTTATTAAATAATAAAAAATGATTAAAAATATAAATTTACAAAATATAATAATTTTAAATTATTATAATAGCAAAAATTTATATTTAATGAAGAAAATATATTTAAATTAGAAATCATAATAATGTAAAAAATTTTGAACCAAATAATATTACATAATTAATTGGATAATATACTCTATGTAATTTATGTAAACATAAAATAAAAAATATTATAAAAATGTTAAAAATTATTTTTACTTAAAAGAATATTAAAAATAAATAACTAAAAGCTGATTGGAAAACACAAAGAATATACAAAGAGAAACATAACAACATCATAAACATAAGGGTAGAAATATCTTTTAATTTTAAAAAACTGTTTTTCCATAAGTCATAAACAAGTTTCAAGTGCTTTTACGAGGGTATTTGAATAGAAACCAAACTATGGTTTCAGAAGTGCTTTTATGATTTACGAAGTAAATATGTGGAGGAATTTGTCTCGTTTTGCAGAAAAGTGCTTCTGAAACCATGGTTTGGAGGTTGCCAAACACTCTCACAACGTGTTTAAAAAAAGAAACTTTTGGCTTATAAATCATATTAGCTAAAAACTATGACAAACAGTTTTTAAATTTACAAATTGACTTATCACATTGTAAGTTACTTTTCTCCCCACCTTACCAAATATGTTGATTGTTTAGTTATGGGCCAAACCATAGTCTTTTCCGTCTGGTGGCGAATCTAGTCCTAAATATAAAATCATAACTCACTTTGTCTCTCATATTTATTTATTTCCTTTAAAACAATCCTTATAATAGTTACATATGTTAAAAGATTCATCACATGATGGTTCTAACAAATATACATGATTTAAAAAAGTATTTTAAGAAAAACAACGTTTATTTATTACAAATAACTAATTTAACTAATTTTTTAATCTACTTAAATTAATTAATTAGCTCTTATAAGAATTAAAGGTAGTAATAAATCTCATTGGACTTGCAGGCAAAAGAAAAATCATTTGACGTGCCACCATCATCTATCTGTTAACCATGCAGCTACAACGAGAAAATTCTCAACCATTTATACCATGCCTGATCTTATTTGTCTTTATTTTTATTTTAATCTTTTAAATTTCAAATTATAAATTTTCGTCTCCCAAATTTCTTTTTTATTTAAAACATTAGCCTTTATAATTCAATAAGATATGAATTATTTTGCTCCTTGAAAGATCAAAACCTATGATTTAAAACTTAAGCAACCAAAATCAAAATTAGGGCAAACTTAAAAAGACCACAGATTATATCATATTAACCCATAATATTTAAGCCATAAGAACTCAATCAGGCAAACAGATAATAAATACATGCAAGATACTCATATACAGATGATGAGGAAAGAAACAGTAATGAGTTTAAATGTAACATCACATGCTAAATGGAAAGAAGATAGATTTCAGCGGTACAAAACAAATCATTTACTCAGTTACATAATAATAATAGGGTAAATATGGAATATTTATTATCTGGTTACACAGTGGCCTTCGCGGAAGCACTCATCCCCTGGTAAAGGGACAATCTATATCTTAATTATAATAGATATTATCGCCAATAATTATATAAATAAAAAAAAGGACTTCAAAGTAAACTCCCCATCTCAAAGCCCGGCAACAAATCAGTACCGACTACCGAGTGACAATTGTCAACAACAGGAAAATGCGACCTCACTTGATGTCATGGAACGAAGGAAGGATGGCAACAAGAGGGTCTCCATAGCCAACGGCCTCTGCAAATCATAATTCAAAACGGTTTTTAATTAAAAATCTATCACAATCATGCATGTCTCTAAACTAATTGGTCAAGTAAAGCAGCTAAACAACAAATGTAGTGTCACTCGTTGGAGTCATCACAAGTTAAAAAGGTCATATTCGTTGAATACAATGTATTGGTAACTGGAAAGTTCCATTAAGGAAAAACGTTGCAGCCCCTAACATCACATGGACTGATCCAGCACAACAGGCTTGACAAAGAGCAACGTACATTGCAAATCGACAGTCCAGAAAGAATCAGAGATCTTAAATGACCGGACGAAATAACAAAGAAATTAAGCCATCAGGAGCTTGTGAAACTTTTCCACACGGTCAATAGTCATTAAAAACTCATGGAAACTTGTATATGCCACGAACAACCATTTTACGGTGAATGGCAAAGAACCGTGCTTAGTCTTCATGCGTATCCTGTGGTTCTCATAATTTCACAAAACACAAATCCGAAAAATGCAAACAACCAGAGGAAAGCTATCAGGCTTTTGGTATGCTGACATTTTAAGCCAGTCGGTGGACTAATGCCAGAGCGCTAATGTCCCCTAAAATAGCCAAAACCGAAGTTTAAATTCCAAACGAATTGACTATTGACCGTTATGCTGTCCATTTTCCTCTATTCTTAGTGTCTGTCTTTTCTTGCAACGAAATATTCCTAACATTACAATTGGAGACTATTAGAGCTCTTACGTGTTTTTTCGAAATATTCTCCAAGTTTCATTACCGTTGACATCCTACTACATTCCCTATTTCGCGTACAAATAAGTGGGTACTGCCGTCATTTTCTTCTTTTTCTAATCACAAGAAGTTTTCAGGAGCTGAGTCTTGGGAGTTTGTCAAGGGCAAGTCCTATGACTCAAAAAGTGCTCATAAAGATACTTACAAATTACCTACTAATTATATTTTCACACTGGCAGCATGACTCAAGTCTATACCCTTATTATTTGGTCAAAAAAAGGTCCATACCCTTACTGGGCGTAGAATTATTACCAATACCAACTAGACACTATTTTTTTCTCTAGTTCCTCATCAGTAGCTCCGTATAATTGAAGACCCATATCAAACAAATCTAGACAGAGACATTATACCTCCATCCTGAAAGAGTATCTTTAAAACTTCTCCAGCCACATCTGACTGCAATATTCAATAATAAAAACAGTCAGCAAAAGCAGAACTTTAGAGGGGGACAGCTATTAAAAATACTAAGGTGGTTTACCTTAACAGGAAGTTCAGTGCCAAACTGATCCAAATACCCAATAACTTGTCCAGCTTTGATTACATCACCCTGCAGATTTTAAAATTGAAAACAGACAATTAAGATTTTAGAGGAAGGCTAGAAGATGTTGACAGTGATTTGCAGGCAGTATGATGAAAGTGAGATCCTTATATGACAAAATCTATTGGGCAGAAAGCATCCATCCAATCATGCCCAGCAAAGAAATGTAGCTCTTCTTATCTATATAGGAATATCAAAAATGAAAACTCAAGCTCATCTCTCGAACATGACTGTTTGCAAAATTTTCTTACTTGTAAGAATAAATCGAAATTAATCACAATTAAACAGCATGCATACACCTAAGTCTTAAGACTAATTGCTTTAGGTAGTATTAATTGATGCAACCTATAAAAGATGGAAATAAAATGCACAAAACCAATAATTGATATGTAAATTTTTATTGAAAGGGATGTTGAATGATCAGAACAAGTTAGTGACATAGAAATGCACTGTCAAGGATGGACAGAGAAAAGCATGCATGTTTACCTCTTTACATATAGGAGGTTGCCTCTTCCCTTTCAATGTTCTACCTCTTTGGAACGAGCCAACCTGAAGGGGGAGAGGTAAGTGACAGCAAACTCCACATGGTTTCAGCTAAAGCGACTGTAAATAAGCAGAGTTCAGTACATATATTACTAGATGACATACCGTAGGAGATGACACAAGAACATATGATTTAGTGCCAGAAGCTTCCAATGCTGCCAGCTTTGATGATTTCTCATGGGGAACATTTATAAATGGATTGGTCTTTTCTGGAGATGATTTTGGTGGTGATGGCGGAGGGGTATCAGGTACTGATTCAACCATGGGTTTAGTTGGAATAGGCGGTGGAGTAGTTGGTGAAATGTTGGACAAAGGAGCTTTTGTTGCTCCAACATTTCGCTTGAGATGCATTTGAAATTCTCCAACCTACCACATTAAAAGTCAAATAACAATTTTGGGTGTTCATCAAGGACAAAGACCCCCCTTAAGCATCAGCAGTTAAGTATAAGACTCAACAAATACACACGGTTAAAGACTTGCTTCTTTTGATGACCCAAGCACATGAAATTCGTGTAGTACGATCGTAGCCAAGTAAATTGCCGCGTCAAATATTACACTGATACTTCTGGTTATTGTCAAATTCAAATTTCCCAAATAAAGGGGGGGGGGGATAAAGTCAGATAAGACATGAGGTCCTGAAACACCAAAATCATTTCTCATCATTTCCTACGCGGTGCCATGCGTGAATCATACTCATCATTTTCATTTCAAAAGAGGGAAAAAAAAGATTTTAAATTTCAAATGAAATTCCTAAATATTCAAAAGCAAGTAGAGAAATACGCACACATGGGGGGGAAAAAACCGTTTACCATATCAATAGCCTGTGTGCAACCTCATGCTCATAAGCATGCACTATATGAAGTGGGATTTTATCATCCTCCTTATCAGAGAACAATTTGCCACCATAAATTTTATAGATGCAGCAAAAAATATAATAGGTCAACAAAAAACATAAGATAGATGGTAACCTTCAATTGCAGCTCAGCAATTTCAGTCTCATCACAGACCTCTAATACCAAATCCTGGTATGCAATGTAGACATGGTTCAAGTCAGGAGAGAGACAAAAAAGAGCACAAAGCATAATAGTATATGGTATGTAGCTATGTCCAGTCATTTTCAAAAAATGCAGTTGAGAAGTTCAACAGAAATTTCACAGCCGTATAACTTAATCTTATAAAATGATGAAAGCAAAATAAGTTAATATTATGTTGGGTCTGCTGGATCATGTTTCAGACTCAGCAGACTTATAGAAGTTTATCAGGTTCTCTTTAGAACATGACTTCCAATAAACAGAAGGGCAAGCCATTAATCAGAGTTTCATTGCATATATGGATGCCAAGAGCCACTAATATATATCAATTATAAACATATATAGATCAACAGATATGAATGTGAAAGTACGGGCATATATAGGGAAAGGTTAGCTTATACCTCGAATCCATTAGGAAAAGTACTTTTCACATGCTTCTTCGCCAATGAGTTTTGTGGACTGCTGTCCAAAGAAGCTGCCAACATCATCACATAATTAGCAGGTACAAACGAATAATATACCACATCTCTACTCTGATATATAATTTCTTGAGGATAAAAGTTTAGACTCACTTAACCAGCAGCTACAAGGAAAAAGGATGCAATGAATTTATTCCAATATAAAAAATAAATAACCATTTGATTTGGCAGGCTGGGTATCTTCAGCTGTATTTGTACATAATACTCGTGTTTGCTTCCGTGTCATTCGAGAACTGATGTGCCTCTTATCATTGTCCAAGCGATGTGTTAGTGCACTCTGAGAGTTCCATCCAACGCTATGCATTGGAACTATGCCTGGCTTCTCAAGATTTGACTGCAATTGCTGCACAGTTCCTATGGAGTCTGAAATCCCAAAAACATTAATCAAGCTCATGATTGCAATAGTTTTCTCTGTGATCTTTTAATTAAAAAGTTATTAGCATGTACAAAGCCTTAATAAATCATGCATGCATACATGTGAGTGCCTAACATATATTCTTTTCTTTTAATAAAAGGATGCAGATTATTAGAAAGAAGATAGACAGAATATATAATATAGAAAAAAGAGTGTCAGTGCAATAAAGCTCTCAATTCATTTCTATACCCATGGGGGGTTAGCTCCCTTTGAGAAGAAAAGGGCATGTCAGGACAAGGTAGCCTTTTTGTTTTTAATTCTTCTCTGCCCGTGCCCCTCTCAAACTCCCAGCTCATTGCCTTTTTGTTTTTATACTTCTCCCTCCATCCCCCTCTCAAACTCCCTACTCATTTTAGGCTCTGTATATCACACCAAGAAGCGACCAGGAGACCAGGCTAAGACGTGTAGTTTCTTTGGGATGAAAAGAAACATTCGTTAAATGCCCAAAAGTTTTCCAACTTTGATACATCCATCCGAGTTTTTATCACTCAAGAAAAGTAAAAGCTAGCTGAACCAGAACCTTAAGCGTAAGTTCAACATGCGATTACCGACTAGAAAACCAAAACTGACTAGCCTTTATTTTGCTAAAAAGAATTGAAATACATAGAGTGAACGAACACAAATATTGCTAAGAAATACTTCCTCTATCGTCACAAAACTAAATCGGAAGGCTTCTTTCTTAGTTTCTCCAAACTAGAATACCAGAACCGATTTAAAGTGCAAGGGAGACTGTGCCTTTGGTTCAATAACTATGTGAAAGAAATCGAATGCTAAAACCGAGAGACAGCGTGCGAAAGAAGTTACGGCTCACCTTAATTCTAAAGAAAGTTCGGATAACATTTCTAGAACTAACAACATATACGATGATTTCGGATTCCTTCCCCATAAAACAAAAACTAAAGAATGTGACACACCAAGCTCAAACCAAGCTATATGACATTACATACAACTATACAGCTAGAACTAGCATTCAGTGTGTGTAAAACATTCATAACAAGCAAGTAAAGAAGAAAATAGGAAAAGAAAGACATACAGCGAACGGATCGGATGGCAGCCGAGGCATCCATGGAACTGAGACGGAATCGAAATTGCAGAGATTATATACGGTAATGACAGGGGGAGTGCAATGATGATACTGACAAGGAGCAAAATTTTTTAGTGAATTAATGTGTGGGTTACTACAGTTGAGGTGAAGGAAGATGGAATAGCATGTTATATCTTGGAAATCTCCGCCTTCTCGCTTGTTTTCTCCGTCCAGAGCTTCCTCCCCCTTGACGCCCACACTAATTCATGGTCTATGATTTCCTACGGGAAGTCGCAGCTTCCTACGATGCATTTCGCCACGTGATGCTAAGTCCCAGCTGATTGGTTGCCATCTTTCTTTACCCCTTTTCGGTTAATTTCCTTTCTCTGTTTTTTTTGGGACCTCAGATTTGATTAATGTGTTTGACTGCCGGCTTAGCGCGGGAAATAGATTATACTATGTCATAACTTAATTATAAGATTTTATTTATAAATTATAAATGAGATATTATAATTAAGACCAGAAGTAGTATCTTTTTATTCTTTTTAATCAATAATTTGTTTCTGAAAAATTTGGGATGACATGGATATGATTTGTGAGCAATATAATTTTTTTACTCTTTTTATATGTTATAGCCGATTGATTTTACGCTGATATATTAATTATTTAGAAGTACTAATAGATTTTGAGTTTTGTTTTTGTGACATAAACGCCGAGCCATTTGTATGTTATATTACTTCCAATTCTTAGCATAGGAATTCGTTTGAATTTTATTTTAATCCTAAATATAATATCTCAATTCACTTTATCTCTCATATTTATCTATTTTTTTTAAGATATCCTTGTAATAATAGTAATTCTAACTAATACATTTATTAATAAGGATATTTTAAGAAAGACAGTACCTAGTTATTACAAATAACTAACTCAACTAGTTTTTTTAATCTACTCAAATTAGTCAACTAACTTTATATTAAGGACCAAAGGTAGTAGAAGATTAAAATGGGTGAACAGTATTTATTATATATCAATACGATTATTAATTTATTTTTGTGTTATAAAAATTTTCTCAAAATTTAAACAAATTTGAAACAATTCATCCCATAGTTTGTTTCCTTTTGCAAACAAGCTAGAACAATATGGTCTGATGATATGTATATAATTTACGAGAAAGTCATATATTTAAATTATCAATACACGGCTTCCAATAATATATATATGTATTGGCCCTAAAAATATTAATTATTCGTTATGTTAGAAGTAAATTAAATGATTCTTATTTCTCAACGAGATTGTATGTATGCCTTATGTCTTCACACACGAAGTCTCAGAAAAAGCGTATTTGAATAATATAATTATTTATGTGCATGGGTTGGCCAAATAAAAAATATCAATACTGATATGTCGGCATTGTTCTTCGGTGATCACGGAACCTTCAGCCTCTCATTTCGTTGCTATAATAACTTTTCTTTCGATCTCCATAACACCCCCACCCTTTTACATACACTGATGGAAATAAAACCATCCAGCACACCTCATGTGGATAATATCCATCTCCCTCACGTAAATCATACTCATCCTAACTTATTGAATTGAAACAAAATTTACATTTAAACACTTCATCATTATGCATGGTTGGCTCAAAATAAAAAAAAAATTCCCTTATCAACTATGTATAGAAAAAACGCGAAGCCAATTTATAGTTTTCTTTTCATAACTGGATTTCATAGAAAAAGAAGAAATATAATTATCACTCGCCAAAACAACACAACACCTTGTCATTTATATTAACAAACACAAGAGAATCGATCATTTGCTTTTGTTTACAGGATTTCTTCGAGTGGGACAAAAAAAAAGGTGTTGAGTGTGTTTCATTAATGAAAAGTTGGATAAGTATGATTATTTATACTTTCATATATCATGTAATCTATTTTAAAATTATAATTAAGCCTATATATCCTGAAAAAAATTAATAATAGCTGGTAAATAATAATTAATCATAATGCACACCACAACGTTACAAAAAAATTAAAAAGAAAATTCATTTCACACATATTCATCCCATACAAAGCAAAAGTGTTTTTTTTTTCCAAATCTAATACACGTAAAATCATAGTAGAAGGTTTCTACGTTGAAGGGCGACAGGCTATAAATAAAATAAAATTCATAAATCGTGATCTTTATCTAGAAAGCTAAGCGATGTGGAGATGGAGGGTTTCTCTGAACTCGAACCTGCGAGTTTCACTGTAGAAAGTTTTATGTTTATTAGGCCAATACGTCAACCAAATCCAACCCCTAATCTCCCACTCCATCGTCTTCCCAATGGCACCTTTATCCACTTTCCACAGCACACTGTCTCCATACTCATCGCCTGCAAATATGATCCCTCCCTGCCTCGTAAAAGGCCTATGAGCGCTCGAATACCTGTCTCTGAACCATGACCTAGGGTTGAGCAATGCACACTTCGAAGGCTTGGACGAGAACACTTCTTTACCATTTATGCTGTCATGAAGAAACCAGTTCAGGTTCGCACTGTAACCGTACGTGGATTCTTCGAACTTCCATGGCTTCAAGCTCACTGTTGATGTCTCTCCAGCTGATACTTTGAGACCCAAGGGATTGTTTGGTTCCAGGGAAGCTTCTATGCTTTTGTCTATGCCTATCTCTCTTCGTGGGTTCTCTGTGGATTTGCTCACTGATAGACTCAGCACTTGGTTTTGTAGTGTGGGTGTGAGTTCCAAGCATATTCTTGAAGGGAAATGCTTTTCCCCTGCCCCTATTCCTCGTCCTCTCAGAAGGTTCTCGTTCACAAGCTTCACAACGTCACACCTGTTCACAAATGATCTTAATGTACGTAGTTTATGTGCAGGTAACAAACCAAACGGCTCTGATAAGAAACGACCGACAAATATTTAAAACTGTGATCAGACAAAATTTGTTAGCTGGTTCCGTATAGTGGAAGTTGTAACCTCTAATCCTGTTTGAAATGGCTTATATTTACGAAACACAAGGTTAAGAAGAGTTTTGTCTTGATTTATATAAAACTTACTTATAAATGATTTCCATTGTTATGCCCGACAAGGCCTTGGTTTAAATCTTTAAGTTTCATGAATATAGATTGATTCTGACCAATGATCAATCGATGTGCATGTTCTACATAGCATAACAAAAAAATTCATTAGGTCTGTTCCAAACTTCCAATAGAAGGATTGGGAGGAAAGTGGTCCATTTTTCTACCCTCATTTGGTAAAAAAGAATGGAGAGAAGAGAGAAATTTGAATAAATTTTCTTAGCCCTCCCATATACCTCGAAAGAGGACAAATTAAAGAGAGTTAAAGTGAAGGGGAAAATAAATGAAAGGAGGTGGTGTAACCTTCTACCTGAAAAGTGGGGACTACCAAAACCTTTCTCTCTTACTCTACCCATATTTTAGGCCAACATCCAAAATAAAAAGGGGCCCCTATCTCTCTCCTACAAAAATGTTGGATGATTTGGAGGGAAGAGGAGCCATTAATTTTTATAACCAAAGTATTCTTATTTATTTTTTAATTTCAAGTTCGCTCTTAAAAGTTATGCCTTGTCACACGTTAAATTATTATGTTGTGCTTTTTTTTGGTGTGTATCTACTATCTAGCCTCCTCCCTTTCTTTCTTTCTATTTTGATAATCCTAGCCTCTAGCCCTTCTCTTCCCCTATGCATGACACATTTGATCTATATAATAATGTTTTAATTAAATTGGCTTTTTTTTTTTATAGAATTAAGCAATTCCTTTTGTTTTTTATGATCAGAAAATAAAATTAATCAAATAACCTAAAAAAGTCCATTAATAAAAAATTTACAATGAATAATATATGGTATTTGTGTAATGAGTATAAATTAAAACTGTTGACACTTTTAAAATAAGAAAATGACACATTATTATATAACTATTTAAAATTAAAAACTTCAAATGTAATAAAGTTATTATAATCCATTTGTTATTTTTCCTGATTTTTTTCTTACGTATGAACTAACAAAGGAAGATTAAAATTTCCTTTCTCCCCTCCCCAACCCCACATCTACTAAAATCACTGCTGTCGTTGTATTGTACCAACAACCAAACAAACCGTTAATTGCGCAAGGATTCCATCATGAAAGTTAATTAAAAACAAATGTTTTATATAAATCAAAGCGCACTATTCACTACCCCTCTTATTATGAAAAGATTACCTCCTGCTAATTGCAGTCGTGCAAGTAAAGAATTTGTGTTGTAGTAATCCTAAACAAATTAATACAATTGACCCCTAGCCTCATTTTGCATAACAATTAACATGCTTAATTTACCTAATTATTTCAGGTGTATATATATAATAATTCTTTCTCAAATTGAAATCAATAATCTTAATTAATTACCTTATGTTGTCAATGCTCACCACGATCTCCACCCACTTCTCTTGGACTGTAACCTGGTAATTGAACTGAAGAACACCTTCAAGCTGGTGGTATCTGAGAGAGAATTGAAGCCTCTCATCAACAGAGTGATTATTCGAATTCTCAACGTCCATGGCTATAACTGGGCAGTACAACTGAACTTTCCATAACCCAAAATCCGAAAAAGCACAAGAGAACAAGGCACAAGGCGTTCTGCAGTTACTCTGATTCACTGTTCGGAGCTCCACGACGCAAGTTGTGATAGCCAAGTTCACAGAACGCATCCACAGCTCTTCCAAGTTAGATCCCAGCAGTTTCATCAGAAGCTTTGATGCTTCTCTTGAATCAGAACCTGACAAGTGGTTCTTAATACTAGTAACGCATCCAATGCGTAGATCTTCTGGGGCTTCATATATAATAACTAGGAACAAGAGGGTGAGAAATGCGAGGTTGAATGTGTCTGGGAGGTTGGGAAGAATGGAATCAAGTTTGGGGAATTTCAAGGAGGGGCTGTTTTTGTTAGAACCGTAATGAAGAATGGCTTCAATGAAGTTGACAAGAACGTTGGAGGTGGTTGATTCGTTTAACAACTTGATGGATTTGGTATTATCATTAGAACTGGGCTTGAATGGTTTAGAAGTCCAGAGAGTTACTGGGATCTTAAAGTCTGCGACAATGGCGAAAAAGAGTTTTGAAGATCGGAGGCTTCTGGCTATGCTGAGATTAAGAGAAGGCTGGGACGTGCTTGAAGAACACAAGCGTAAGGTCATGGAACCTGAGGCTGGGCTCCATTCTGAGACTGGAGGAAGGTTCTGAATCCAGAAAAATACATCGGGAAATGTATAGACAGCCATGGAATATAACGAACGGAAGCTCTTTAGTTTCTTAGGTGTAACGATGATATGTTGAAGACTCCTCCTTTATAAGGATGCAGAATCAGAAATTGTGGTGAGTTGGGTCAGGGAAAAGTCAGAAGTAAAGATGGTCATATCGGACAAGATAACTGATTAATTTGATTTTACATCACATCCGATGTGAAAAGTTTCAAACTGGTAGCTATGATAAACCAATACCAAAAATGAGCAAAACATGCAATTCCTTTTACTGGAAGAATTTGTATTTTATATGCTTCATAATCTATTAGTTAACATTCATCTTAGGAAAAAGAGGGGAAAAAACACTAGATGATCTAAAGTTGAAGGAAAACGCATCCATCAGTCATGTTCCAAGTGAAGAGGAAGAGCCAATGTATCTCATCGACGTCACTACATATTATATGAAGTCAGAATCTTAACCGTTCACATTTAATCTAGTCAATTTAATAAACTAATGATATGAATGAATTTCCTTAAGCGAAGATATAACTATATATGTTGTATTCCTCGTTTGCTCGTGAAAGAACTTTCAGAATACAGTTAAGGCTAAATGTGTAATTTTATTCCTGATTTTATTTCTCACGTGTACTTAGCACCTGATCTTTTTAGTGTATAATTTTACTCGGAATCTGTTTTTTATGTTATTTTATTCTTGATCTTATTTAGTAGGCCCACCAAAATAAAAAGATCATAAATAAAATTACACTACTAAAAAGATTGTAACGCTAAATACGTCTAAAAAAATAAGATTAGTGTTTTTTTTTTTTTACAATATCATCCTGTATCTATCTGATTTTTACAATATCATCTCTTATCAGGCATTGAAACAACCGATTAAGCAATACAGGTAGTGTTATAGCATTGTGTAGGGATGTTTTTAAGACACTTATCTATCTGATTTGAACATCTATGTCGAAGCGGTCCATGATAAATAGAAACATTTATATTTCATTAACCGTTTCTCGTATTTTAATATTTAAATTACTTTTCATAAATACAATTCTAGGATAAGGAATAGTTAAAAACAAAAAACAAAATCCGTACGTATGCGAAGAATGTGTTATTCCCCTTAGATTTCGTTATAAAGCACCTTCTAATAATAAAAGAGATGAATGTGAATAAGAGTTATTGGTGAAATTAAATAAAGTTGCTCGCATTTTTTGTATCCTGCT